TTTTTTCAGTTCAGAGATAACTTCAGTGACTGTTTGAATTAGTACACAATATATTCTAATATTGTAATTCTGCTATTGAATTTCTAAACATGATTATCAGATTTCCTATGATTTCTGTTTACGAAACCTGGTGCATAGAGGAAGAAGTTTTACATGTGTGCAGGCAGCAGGGAGAGTCTCTTACATGACTTTCTTGTGCGGTAAGATATAGGACCATCTTAGAATTCACTGTTTCCATTCCTAAACGAACAGTCTTCATGTTTCTATTTAATTACTAATTTGGTCATTTGTGGAAGAATAAAAAACTAATTTTTAATTTTTGGAATTTCAGTATAGATTTTGTAGTTTACATCTGGTATTCTCATCACAACTGTCAAACACAGGAATTCTGGTATTCTCATCACAACTGTCAAACACAGGAATTCCATGTACTAGAGATTTTTGGAAGCAATGGTCACTATATATAGCATCAAATAATTTATTTAATTAGATATAATCTCTTCCCACAAGCAATATATTTCAACAATCTATCAAATACACAAGACGACTGAGGCATCTCTGTAAATATCTAAGACAGTAGTCTGAAAAATTTTGATTAAAATAATATTGGTAGAAAAGAAAAAAAATCAGCTTAGGTAGGAAATTACCTTATAAAATGTGGTTTATGTTCTTGATACAAGCGCAGAAAAGTATCTCAGGTTCAACATATAATAACAAAAGATAAAATTTTAAAGTAATGCCACGGGAACCCTAGCCCAGGCCAGTCCACACCGCCCAGAGAGTCCCGAGAGTCACTGGGCCCACAGGGCCCCGAGCCACCCAAGGCAGAACAGGCAGGCACTACACTGCAGGAACCCCAGCCCAGGCCAGTAAGCACCACCCAGAGAGTCCTGAGTGCCACTGGGCCCACAGGCCCTGAGCCAACCACGCCAGAAGACACAGCTGATGTGCCACAGGAACCCCAGCCTAGGCCAGTCCACACCACCCAGAGATGCCCGAGCCACCAGCCCACAGACCCTGAGGCAGCCACACCAAATTGGCAGTCCCTGCAGGATCCAAGCCAGACAACAGGATCGAAAGAGTGGACCGTGAAAACCCCTGCCACAATGACTAAACACTAAAGGAAAGATAGCAGAAATATAAAAAATCAAGAAAGTACAAAACCACCAAACAAAAATGACACTCAAGCTTTAGATCTTACAGAACAGGAAATCCTTGAAATAACTGAGAAGGAATTTCAAACAACAATTCTAAGGAAACTAAATGAGGTATAAGAAAACTCAGTTAGACAACACAATGAAATGAGAAAAAGTGTACAGATCCTGAAAAAAGAAATGTACAAAAAAATCAATGCACTGAAAAAGAACGCAGCAGAACTTGCAGAGCCGACGGATTCATTCAACGAAATACAGGCCACAACAGAGAGTTTATCCATCAGGCTAGAACAAGCAGAAGAGAGAATTTCTGACCATGAAGACAGGCTGTACGAACTAATACAGGCGGACAAAAAAAAAGAAAAAAGAATTTAAAAAATTGAAGAAAATCTAAGAGAGATAACAGATAACCTTAAAGCACTTAAATAATCCAAATCATGGATATTCCAGTAGGGGAGGAAAAAGGAAATGGCATTGAAAATATATTAAATGATATAACAGCAGAAAACTTCCCAGGTATAGGGAAAGACACAGATCTTCAGATTCAGGAGGCTCAATCATCCCCAAACATATTCAACCCAAAAAGGCCCTGTCGGAGACATGTTACAGTCAAATTGGCAAAACTCAAAGAGAAAGAGAGAATCTTAAAAGCTGCAAGTGAGAAACAACAAGTTGCCTATAAGGGAGCCCCAATCACACTAATATCAGACGTTTCATTGGAAACCCTAAAAGCCTGAAAAGAATGGACTAACATATTCAAAATACTAAAAGACAAAAATTGCCAGCCAAGAATACTTTACCCACCACAGCTAACGTTCCCAAACGAAGGACAAATAGTATATTTCTCAGACAAACAAAAACTGCAGGAGTTCACTACCACACAACCAGCCCTACAAGAATTTCTCAAGGGAGTACTAGGTTTGGTACCTGAAAAACAACCATCACTGCCATAAATACTCAAGAAAGAGCAAACCCAATAGTAAAATAAAAATGCTAACAATAAACAGAAAACGGTTATCTACCACCCAAAGAAAACAAAAAACACAGAAGACTGCGCAGGACATGTGAATGGCACCTGCTCCTCAGCATGCCAATGAGAGCAAGGAGCAGATGGCAGAGTCAGAAGAGGGAGTGCTGTTATAGCACAGCCATGGGTATCCCCACTAGAAGCCACATATTGTATCCGGCTCATTAGGGAAGTTCTAGCTCTTCCAACAACAGGACCTGGGGGCAAGGACAGCAGCCCACCAGTCAGGGGGCACTCACTCACGATTTGAAACTGCTCCAAGGAGGAGCTGGTGGTTCGGCATACGCTGGCAACCATGAGTGGGGAAAGGATTTCAGGAGGTGACACTGGAATGGATGACAATTGGAGCTGCTGTTATTTCGGGTCCCTCGCAACCCTGAGGCCTACGTCCCATGGAGAAGCTACCTTTTCCTCCTCACCTCATGTCCTCGAAATTCCCCAGGGGCAGAGTAGGTGCTTCTCACAAGAAAAGAAGAGCAAGCCGTCCTCTGTTTATCCAACATTTACTAACCAACTACTGTGTCCTGGGCACCCAGCTTACCATAAGGAGTGACCCACAGGACTTACCCTCAAGGAACTTGGAGATGCTGGATGGCCAGACTCTTGCAGTGATTACAACCCTGGGTTGGGTTACAAGAATCTGATGGAGGGAGGGTGGGGACAAGGTAGAAAGTGCCACCCAAACTCAGAGACAAAAGTACCTAACATTTGGGGGGTGGGAGGGGCAGTGAATGTGACTTTAAACTTGGGCCCTAAAGGAGGACAGGGGTCTGCCAGGTCGAGAAGAGGTAGGTCTTCCAGGCTGTGGGAATGGCCTGAGAGAAAGCAAGGAGTCCTGGCAGGGTGAGTCGGGGACCCGCGACCAGGCAGCACAATGTGACCAAGGACAGAGCGTTAGGCGATAATGCTGGAGCGAGCTGGGGCCGACTGCACCAGGAGAAGGCTTGGCAGGGTTCTCAATAGAGGGCTGATGGTAGTCTGTTGACGACTGGGCCTCTTGCTGCTCCACCCCACGCTGCTCTCAGCCCCGCCCCCGCCGCTCTCTCACCTGGGCCCCCTCCGCACGGGCCCGCTCCGCTCCCTCAGCTCCATCCCCCGCCGCTCTCTCAGCTCCACACCCCGGCTCCGCCCCCCGCCGCGGTCTCGGCTCTGTTCTACAGCCTCTGCCCGTCATTTTCACACAGTCGGGCCTGTTCCTTCCACAGTTCCCCCAGGTCTTCACGCGGTCCGGCGCAGCTCCTCCCGCGGAGCCCCGCCCCAGCTGTCTGGCAGGACGGCCCCGTACGCCCTTTCCTCTTCCTCTCCCGCTTCCTTCCCTCCAGAAGCCCCTCCTCAGGGCCACCGGTCTCCACCCCCTGGCCCTGGCCTAACCTACCTGTGCACCTCAGGCCCCAGTGCCTGCAACAGCGTCTCCTAGCGGCCCGTGCGTACGCAAGTGCGTGAGGACGTAGTGCGTGTCTGCCTACGTGCGCGGATATGTACGTACGGAATGCGTAAGGCGTGTGTGTGCGCACGCGCGTGGGTACGTGCCTTCATGCGTCTTGCGTAAAGGGCGTCGCGGGCTGGACATACGTGTTCGAGTTCAGCGCCAGACGCACCTGTTAGCATCCCCTGTATGGCGGAGGCTGCGGCGGGGGGTGGCGACCCATCCGCGTGACGAGCGCGCTCTCTCCGCGGCCCACGTCATCTCCTTGCCAGGGTTTGGGAGGCGGTCGTCCTGGCGCTGCTGGGCTCGTCAGGCCGCGGGGAGGCGTTGGACGGTCAAGCCGCGGGGCCGGAGGCCGAGTCGGCCCTGGGCTTCCGAACTCGCAGCACCCTCGGGGGTGGAGGCCGTGAGACCCACCGGTCCCGCTGGGGACCATGAGCTTTGCCTCCCGTGGACGGTGCCTCTGGGCAGGGGTTTCCCGGGCTGTGGGGCTGGGAACTCATGCAGGGCTGGCCAGAGGCCGCCCTATCCTGTCCCCTCCTCCCTCCAGCGTCTCACAGCCTCCCTGTTTCTAAGATGCTCCTCACACACCGGCCCCACCTCGGCATTTGAGCCATGAACTGACTGAGATGACAATCTTTGCCCAGCTCTGTGGCCCTACCCAGAATGACACTGAAGGACAGGGGATTCGTGCCCCTCCCTCTCAAGCCTTTACCCTGCGACAGTTTGACGGGTGATGTCATTTTTCTTTTCCAGCGTGCTCAGCTGTAAGAACATGGCCCACTTACTGAACCGATTTTCTGCCCTGCTGGCCGATTCATCATGTGGTCCTTAACACAGACAGGGGAGGAGGTGCCCACTGCCTGATTAGCAAAACCAAGCCCTTACTGAGGTGCACGAGTGTGTTTCCCATAAGACTGGCCCTGCTAGCTCTTCTTGGTCTCTGATGCTGGCTGAATACAATACCTTCATGGTACCACTAGCCAGCCTTGCTGTCTTATGCTAAGTGATCTTTCCTTCTTACCTCCCTTGTCCTTGGGCAGGTGAAGAAGCTGAGACAAGTAGAAGAGTGTTTCCTCCTCAGGCCACAAAGCAGGTACTCTCTGCAGCATCAGTCAGGAAGGGGACTCGGCTCCCTTCTTGCCTTTACAGTTACATCAGTTCTCACTCGGGATTCCACCCACACAGTTCACGTCTGATTGTCGAGATTTCGTGGCATAAGGAAAAAAGGGTTGGCTAAGACACTGAGAGGCAGAAACTGGGCAAACCTTCATTCTAGTCATATATCCCAGAAGGGGAAATGGAGATTGGCAGGCCCCGTGGGGGACATTCCTCATCCCTCCTAAGTAATCCCAAACCAAGGATTAGGGTGAGCCTGTCACACATCAGCAGAATGATGATGCTCAGAGCCAACAAGTGTGAGGACATGGCACTGGTGTTTGATGGAGCGTACACGGGTGAGTCTCTGTGAAGTCCATTTGCTGGCATGTATCTGCATGAGAGATGTGCATGCCATGCAACAGAGGCATCGTCTTGGACGTGTCATCAGAAAACAAGCATTAGTGGTAATATTTCTAGTGTCAGAAAATGGGAAGCAGCTTGTAACTCTCCATCAGTAAAGGAAAGGTTAGGTAAATTATGGGACACCCAACAGTGGGATGCCATACTGGCAGTGAAACATAAATTTGAAGAAGATGTACAGACAGAAAGAATGTGCTTGATCTGCTCTTTGGGGGAAAGCACTTGCCCTATCCTGTAGATATGTTTGGGGAACAGCTTACCCCTATGTAGTAGTTCATAAGATGGCTGTAACAAAGTACCACAACCCAGGTGGCTTGAACAACAGGCATTTATTGTGTCTCAGTTCTGGAGGCTAGAAATCTGCAGTCAAGGTGTCGGCAGGGTTCGTTTCTTCTGTGGGCTGCGAGAATCTGTTCTATCCCTGCCCGCTACCTTCTGCTGATTGGCAGGCAATCTTTGACTTGTGGAAGCATCTCTCTGATCTTTGCCTTCATTTTCTCATAATTTTCTCCCTGTGTGCGTGTGTGTCTCTAATTTCTCCCTTTTTATAAGGTCATTGGTCATAGGTCATAGTGGATGTGGGCCCACCCTCAGGACTTTACTTTTGCTTGATCCCCTGCGTAAAGACCCAATCTTTATTTATAAGGACACATTCTGAGGTGCTTAGAGTTAGGGTTTCAACACAGGAAGTTTGAAGGGACACCATGCAACACATAAGAACCTGCAAAGGCCCTGAGTAGGAAGAAACATGGCATATTCTGGGGAGGGAAGAATGGCCTGCATGACTGCATGGTGGTCACTAATGGGAAGAGGGGAGCAGATGGCTGTGGCAGGGAGCCAGATCATGAGGGACCCCTGTGAGATGTGTGGATTCTGTTGTGGTTGGGGCGGGAATCCCTTGGAAAATTTGAGCACAGGGGTGACATAATCTGATTGCCCCTGTGCTAAGGCCATTATGACTGTGCTCAGGGAACTGTGTGAAAAGGCAGCAGGACATGAAGGGCTTGCACAGGGATTGTGGCCTTGGAGACTAAGAAAGAGATCAGATTCAGGTTAGGATTTGGAGATGGTGCCATGTGACATTGGCAGGTGTAGGAAAGAGAGGAAGGAAAGAGTGCTGCTAGGTCTGGGGCAGGAACACCAGGTAGATGGTGATGCCACTTACAGAGGTGGAAGGGAGGTGGATGTGGCAGGAGCTGGAGGCACGTGAGGGCTCTGAGGAGGGTCTTTCTTCACGTGATGAAGGGCGTGTGGCCACGTTCCTCTGGAAACAGAATCACCTCCTCGTGGGAGAGGGGGAGGTACTGATTCTTAATGACAGAGGAAAGTGGTAGGACCCAGGTTCTGGAGTGAGCCACAGAAACGGGGATGACAGCGGCAGCTCACCTGAGAAGCGGGAGGATGGCAGAAGATGTGCTGCAGAGTCAGGCAGGACTGCAGGTTGGGAAGGGAGTAAACACGAGGCACTCTCGTTGTGACAGGGCCTTGATCCTGAGTGTGGGCATGTTTTCTTAGAATCGTAGGAGATTCCGAGTTTAAGTGCATGTATTTGAGGAAAGGACAGGGAGGTGCCAAGCAGAGTGGAGGGAGGCGGCTCAAGGGTGTGGTACAGACCCAGGGGATGAGTCCCCAGTCCCAGTGATGATGACAATGATGACAAAGCAGCCACCATCTGACTGCCTTGTGAGGTACCAGGTACTGGGCTGGGTGCTCTCAGTGCCTCATCTCCTGACCACATGGCTATGAGGAAACTGAGGCTTCTTGACATGCTATGACTGGCCGGAGTTTCTGTCTTCAGGCCCATGGCTCTACCTGTCCAGGGCTCGCGCCCCATGTGCTGAATGGTCCTTGAGCCAGGATGAGTGGCCCCTGTGCCAGGGGACAAACAGGCAACAGGGACCAGGACAGGAGGTACATGAAGTCAGGTCCTGTGTGATCGACAGTCCTTGCTTCATCGCTCTAAACCTGCTTGTCCTCAGCAGTTGAGTGGGCCTGGCAGTGAGGGTTAAATCCGATGATGCACGGATCGTGCCCACCCCAGGGCCTGTCACAAAGAAGGTCTGTGTGCACTGGTGCTAGTTGTTCTCATTCTCATAATTTTTTTTCTCAGGGCTCAGGTCAGGGACAGGGGAAGGGGCTTGAACAGGGTGGCACCTGAAGGAGTTAGGAGAAGACACCTGACGGGACCACCTGAGGTCACAGGTCACTCTGAGGGTTGAGCTGAGGTTGGATACCAAGCATGTACTCAGAAGCCCTGGGGTAGGAGCCAGGAAGCTCAGGGCCTGCAGTGCCTGGGGCTGGCACAGCCAGGGAGCTGAGAGTATCAGCGATGTCTGGGTGTCGGGAGGGCAGCAGGAGAAGAAGCAGAGCCCAGGACTGTCCCTGTGTGCTGCCAGAGGGCTGAAGCCAGCCCCGACTCTCACTAGCCCACACACCTCTGTGTTCCCCTCGGACTTGATGACCTCTGTCGTAGCACTGATCACACGTTTTCCTGCCTGTGCCTTTCTCTAACTGTCCCTGCCATAGTCCGTGAGCTCTCTGAGCATTCCATCAGGTGCATCTGAGTCACCCAAATCCCAGTCTTCCCAGTCCCAGTCTTCCCTTGGGCCTGCTGTGCTGACAGGTGGATGCAGTGAGCCATCGAGGTCAGTGGGGATTCAGGGCACCTGGGAAACAGGGTGAAGGTTGGGCCGACTGGCCGTGAGCTTGGAGGACTGGTGTGTGATGAGCTTCTGTGTTCCCACAGACCACCGAGGTCCAGAGAGCTTGCGGAAGATGAAGATCTGTTGCCTCTCCTTCCGGCAGCCTTATGCTGGCTTTGTGTTAAACGGGGTCAAGACCTTGGAGACACGTTGGTGTCCCCTGCTCGGCAGCCACCAGAACCATACCATCGCCATCCACATTGCTAACGGACTGGGAGGACGACGCCTGTTGGGAGCTGCTGCAGGGGAGGCTCGAGATGACGCCCGCTCAGATTCAGGCCTTGCTTCGGGAATGGGAAAAGTTTGGCCAAGGAGTGGCAGCTGGTAAGTGACAATGTGCCGATCATTGTACAGATGAGTCCAAGAGCTGCCAACCTGGATCTGGCTGGGGATTTTGGGGGCTTCTCTTTTGTTTTGAACTGGTTTGTGTGTTTCCTGCAGTTTTCCTTAGCAACACACCCTCAAGGGGGTAGCTAGGGGCTCTGGGCTGGGGTTTGCAGGCCCAGCTTTCATCACCTCCAGTAAATCATTTCTCTGCTCTGGGCCTCGGTGTCTGCTTCTGACCTGTGAGGCTGGGTCAGGTCCGTGATGTCATGTGGTTCTGGGCTGTGTGTGTGCGTGTGTGGGGGTGTGGGGGGGGGGGCAGAGACCACCAGAGGCAGCACAGCACATTGTGTGGGTCGGCTGCCTACCTGACTTCATGGGCCTGCCCTGTCCCCACCTCCAGTGACACCCTGGTCTAATCCCTTCACCTCTATAGGTGGTGGAGGGTCCACATCCACACCTGTCCCTGGTGAACTGCCTCAGCGTCTCGTTGCCTCCATGTTCCCGGGCAGTGGCTGGTGCCCTTCCATTCTGAAATTCCTACCCTCAGCAGTCTTGCAGGTACCTGCATGTTATTTGTGTTGCTTCACAGAAGAGCAAGCCCTGTCCTCTTCATTTCTGAAGCCTTCCCACTGCCTCACCCAGGATTCCCGGAACATGTTTGGCTCATCATCTGTGCTCAGTGAGAAGGCCCTACTGCGCGTCCTGTCCTTGTGCTGATAACATCTAAGTCTGTAGCGGCCATAATTTTGAATAACCAAGTTGTCACACTGGCAGGCCTTGGTTTATGGAAGGATGAACCACCTTTGTGTTTCTCTCTTTGTGCACAGGGCTCATTGATATTGGCGAAATATTAGAGTGTCCTGAAAACTTAGCTCCTGAGGAAGTTGTGGAATTGGAAAATCAAGCTGTCCTGACCAACCTGCAGCAGAAGTACCTGACTGTGATTTCCAACCCCAGGTGGTTACTGGAGCCCTTACCTAGCAAAGGGGGAAAGGATATATTCCAGGTGGACATCCCAGAGCACCTGATCCCTTTCGGCCAAAAGGTGTGAAGTGTGTGGGCTCTTGAGAGGAATGTAGCTGAGAAACCAGCTAAATCATGGCACCGTTGATTCGCCATCTTGGCGCATGTGCATACAGATAAGGTTAAGTGTGAATTACCCCTGCGTTGTACAATGCTTCCGGCTACATGGCATTCACAGAAACGGGTTTCTGTGCTCACAAGAAGGGAATAGAGGGTGCTGCTGGTTATTTTGTTCCTACTAATGTCTGGATTGTAGAAATAAACATATCAAACTTAACTGTGAAGTGTTTGGGGCTCCTTTATGTTTCCTCAGTCTTTGTTCTGGTCCAAACCGATCAGCTCTTTGAACAGCATCCTTGTGACCTTTTGCAAAGCGTGGGTCCAGGAACTGAATGGTTGCTCAGCAGTGACCAGCCATCAATAGCCTGACTCATCCAGGAGGAAGAGGACATCAGACTTAGAAACATGCAGCTGTTGGTCCTTCCAGATTCCTCTAGGTCTCTTGCATACACATCTCCCACTCATGAAGGACAATGGTTCATGAAGCCTGTGTGTCACCTGCAGCATAGAGCTTCTGCAGATCCAAACAAAGGATGCAAGATACAACTCTCATTGAGTGAGGCTGATTTTGCAAAGTGTTCAGTAGTGTTGTAATTTTGTAGCAAATCTTTATGTTTTGTTTTTGTGATTTCCCAGCAAGGTTTCGAGTGGTCAGTAGCTATGAGGATCATGGGCTTTCCCCCCAGGCATGTACTGCAGTGGCTGGTCTCTTCTGAGAAAGGACACAGTGGTTGTTCCTCCCTTGGAAGATGGGGCAGCCTCTTTGGAGGGCCCCTGGGTGCTGAGTTGGGAAACTCAGCTGTGGAACAGAAACTTCCTGGCAACAGTGTGAGGACAGCAATGAGGAAGGAATCTCCTGTCTCAAGGTACGGGAATAATGTAAGGTGATACTCCCAAGGTCAGGAGTGAGGCTGTTCTGTCTCCTGAGCAGCAGGCTAGGCTCAGGGAACTGAATCTTGCTGGGCGATCCCTCACAGTTTCTAGCAAATCCTTTGCTGAGTGGGTGGAAATGCTGCTGCCTCAAATGGAAGAGGACAACGAGGACCAAGCCTGTCCTAGGCAGGGTCTTTAGCCTCATGTCAGTGAGACATGTGTGGTATAGATGGTTAAAAATGACACGGAGTCCCGATTCTCATTTAGATGGTTTATTTGCTACCATGGGGTTTTGTTGTGTTTATTAAGACCAAAAATGGGTTCACCATTAGAAAATGGCCCTTTTTATCACTCCTCAGTGGCCTTTGAGTTTAGGGACCTGGATTGTCCTTAAACTATTCAAAGACTGCACACGCGTAATCAGTCCTCCTGCTCCTCCTCATTGGGCGGCTCACTGGGAGACATTTCTAACAGGGAAGCCATCAGAGTGGAATAACAGATGTTAAACAGAGACATCGGGAGACGATTGGCTGGGTAAAGCGGAAGATTTGGGAGCCGGTCCCCTGCAACTTCCATCCCAGCGTTGGCCCTGGGCTAAAACCTAACATTCACAGAAGTGGCCCTCTCCCTGCTTGGACCATTTGGCTCTTCAGGGGGACAATTTCCTAGGGGATGTCTAGCAAAACTGCTCCTAGACCCTGTACCCCCTGGGAACATGGAGAATTGAGGGTTACTTTGACCCTGAACATTTGGGGCTTCCCCCTGGGGCTTGCCGTTGGCTTCTATCTTTGCATTAATGTGTTGGAATTGAAGGGATTGTCTCATAGGTACCAGCTTCTTTCTCTTTGCGAATGGTGCACAGGTTGCTGGCACAGCAGTGCTTCTGAGGTCACCTTTTCTATGAATGTTCTCGAGGAGCCCAGGATGATCTCTCTGAAAGTTGGGGTTCCTGTAAAGCTGAAACCAAAGGAAACATTTCAGTCACTCTGAGATTAGATGTCCATTGCTTTTCTCCCGGAGAATCACAAGGGTCATATTTGATGATGGAGAAAGGAAATGTTTAAGGTGCTGGCAAGTGTCACTGTGCCCTATAGCATGACCTCACAAGAGAGAAACAATTCATAAGTGAGGGTGGCAGTATGTACACCTGACATTGCCTGACTCTCAGAGTCTCTACTCCTACCCACAGAGTATCTCTAAGGGCATGGTAATTTAACATCAAAATCTAGATTTTGATCTTTCAATAAATAATTGCTCATGTTAAAAAAAGTTGTCTTCACAAATGAAACTCTTGTAGTATGTCATTCACCTTGGCGTCCTGTAAAGATGTTTGAGTAACAGAAAAGGGGTAAGAGGAATATTTTCTACTTTACCATAATTTTCTTGTTCCCCTGAGAATCAGCTGAAGAGGCCTTTGTGCGTATTTTGCTGAATCCATAGCGGTTCATTTGGCGAATGAATGTCTTCATGCTGTCTGTTTCAAAAATCCTGTCCGTGCCTCTCCTGTGAAGAATTTCCCTCTGGAAAAGGTCTTCCTCTATGATCACGGTGTGTCCGTCATCATCCCAGTGCAGCGACTCGAAAGCGTCATCCTCAATGATCTTCCAGAGCCTCCTCGGGAAGGAGAGTGTTCTGGGGTCACTGTCTTCTTCTACATGGGACGCACGTTGGCTTTGATCTTCTGGTTGTTCATCATTTTGGGAGTCTGCATCTTGTCCCTCAGCTTGGTCATCTTGGCCTTCTGATACCTCCCTCGGATCCAGGTTTGGATCAGGTGGGACCCCGCTTGCTGGCTCTCCACCAGAAGATGAGGCGAGCTCGGTTTCAGGGTCGTCAGTATCCTGACTATCCATGGGCTACACTGTCATCAGGAGAACTTTGTACACCACACCATTAACCACTGTCCCAGTAAGTACAAACTGCCTTCAGTCTGTGTGGCGATGCCCAATAAATACTGTGCACATGATTCTAGAATCTCATTACTGGGGCAACCAGGTGCTGAAGTCATCGTCCTCTTTATTTGTCATATGATGTCTCATAGGTGGCTCACAGCCTGTCTCGAGATTGAAACCTGGCCAAGTGTTGGGGGGGGATCCAGTGGCTGTGTCCCCCAGCTTCTCTCTTTTCTAAAAGTGTAGAAAGGGTGGTTCAGATTCCCAGAAAAGTATCCCATGGGCTGACAGACACATGGTTTCACAGGGCCCACCCCTGGATAAGTTGAGCAGCCTTTATCCCATGGCCACTCCCACCCCTGAAGACAGGGGAGGCCTGTTGCTGGCCTCTCTGGTTTGCTCAAGGGCCAGGCCCCACTTAGTCCTAACTTGGGTATTGCCAGGACTGTCTGGGTCAACTGGGCTGCTTGGTGACTGTACATCCCAGGAGATGGTGGTCCCTACCAGGCTGGGAATTCTAGTCTCGGTTAGTGTCCCTCTTCTCCCCCCATCTCTTTCCTGCTTTGGTCTCTTCCAACCACTCCTGCTGGTGGGTTCCATCTGCTCAGATGGGCCCAGAGAAAGAGTGTGACTTATTACCACCTGCTCCAGTTGTCCCCAGCGTGGGGCTGCGCCTGAGCACGGTGGGAGTGCTCCTCTTGCTCCTCGACCAGAGAGGTACTCAGAGCACGGATGTGTGATTGGATGGGCACATGCTCGCCGGGGCTTTGCACTGTCATGTGGAGCTCTGCTTGCCCCCAATGCATCCCTCCACCAATCACAACAGGGTTGTCTTTACTTTCCATTTCTTCCTCGTAGATCCTGTTCTCATTTTCAGAGACCCTTTCATTTGTGAGGCCTGCTTTTCAGAGACTCTATTCTGAGGAAAGTTCCTACTTGTTTAACTAGAAATAAGTAAAGGAATGCAATGCAAAAATACCCATCAACGTGTATTTGAAAACATATGAGAGTCTGGGGGGCTGGGGGATAACGTGTTTTTGAAAACAGATGAGAGTCTGGGGGGCTGGGGGAACAGTGGGGAAAAAACCCAAATAGTTGTCATATTCAATCACAGATGAAAGGATACAACCCTTTCTTTGGTGATACCTGCTCTCTAGCCATTGAGGACAATTTTGTTCTTAATATTCACTCTGCACAGGCAGTGGAAAATCGCCATGCTGAGAGGATTCTGGGTCCTTTTCCCACTGAGTAGTAGCCCCTCTAAAGGCCAGGCCTTTGTTACTAAAATGGGAGTAGAAAGTTGGTTTGAAAGACACCCTTTCAAGGTATCTTTCAGTCCAAGGGCACCAATCCTTAATCATTTCTGGATTTGGGATTGTTCTGTGGTCGCCATTTTTTTAAACAAGTTTACAAAGCCTTCATTATTGGACTCAGTTTTACCTGTGTGCACGTGAATGTACAGGCTTAGTATTCAAATGTAATTCACTTTTGATGTCTCCAAAGGTCACTCCTAGTATTTTCAGTGAAATAGCCAGTGTGTTTCACTTGCGTGCCGAAGTCTTTTTTCTTCAGCAAATTCTTAAGACTGAGAGTGACATACCGCAGTGGCCTTTGCTAATGTATGCATGCTGCTGATTACTTCTATAAAAGGCTTTGGCCATTGGGTGGGAGGGGGATGGTAGTGAAGAGAATGCGCAAGGAATCCATAGCTCTGGCTTTCAGCAAAGAGCTGCTATTTTTTTTGATTTGGTTTAGACACATGTATGTCATGTCGCTTGCACAGTAACATTTTTTTTTTTTTTTTTTTTTTTTTCAGAGTCAGTGAATGTCCACTAGGATTGAGAGTGTATGGCCTCTGGCTCTTCTTATGCCCTGAAGGGGAAATAATTCACAGTGCCTTCTCAGTACAGTCAGAGAAAGGCATTATAGGAACTCTGGTCTCCCTCAGCTTCGGCCTCTTTGGCCTTGAGGAGCCTTTGGCTGCCACTCAGACAGTCTTTCTAAGAAACCTGCCATGCCCAAGCAACGTTGAGAGAAATGATTAGTTTTCAGTGCTCCAGAGCCCCCAGAGATGACCCCTCTGTGTCACCAGCTTAGGAATGGAATCACCACAGTCCTGCCACCCAAGCAGAGCACAGCTGACTCAGGTACTTGTGAGGACCAGTAATCCCCTGGGAAAGTGATCTAAGTTGTAACTTGCTGC